GGCCGTTCACCGGTTGGCTGACCTGTCGTTGCTCAGTTCATCCCATGGAAAGAAGTCTCTGAAGGCGACACACGATAGCGGCCAAGATGGGTCAAGATCGGGGTCGCCATGGAGCCAAACGGGACGGGTTCGAGTGGACCATGTGCAACAAATGTCTTGCTTCTGCTCTGATTGGGCCCGGCACCAAAAGTACCCTGGTGACGTCTGCGGCTGCCCTTCCCCAGTCTGCTGTCCCGTGGTGGCCAATCATGTTGCAGAATGGGTGCTCAACCCCATGCCCGGCGTCACTTGCAGCACGCCCCTGAATCCCCAATTGTTGATTGCGCGCCTGTGAATCCTGATTCCCTCATGTCGCTCGTTCCATTGTCTGGGCAGTGGCCGTTGGTTGACATGGTTGGTTGGCGACATGTCCCATTGTATCGAGAACAACAAAGCCGCAGACGCGCGCTTGACTGTTCAGTTCTTGCTAAAAACCATAACGGCTCGTCTCTCCCTGTGTCTATGAAACATCCTTGCGCAATCGAACCCCCCAACAACAACAACGAACGAGCCTGTTGTGGCTCTTCACACAGAATGGTCTTAGTGCCCCTGAACGACCAGGCGTGCATGGCCGTACAACGGCAACCGAGCTCAGAAAACCACTCAGCGGAGATTTGTGCGTCCCCTAATTTCCGCTGCAACTTGGCAAGCCCACCTTCCCTAGCACCCTCCTTTCTATTTACTTTACACGTAACACGACCGCTATCAGACAGGATACTATGTAGTCGTACTCGTGATGGGATGCGCGCGAAGGATCGATATAGACGGGCAAAACAAGTTGTGTCCTCCAACCTTTGTTGTTGAGATTCAATGGTCTTGTTCACGGAGGGTATGACGCAACAGTAGGTCGGGAAAAAAAGCTTGGCAATGCGCCTGCATAATGCTTCAATCCACGCACACAAGAAAGGCTTGAAACACACTGCAGCACAGTGCAAATATTGCAACTGCATCGTGATATTCTGACCAGTCGCACCGTGGCAGAGTTTACGTCTCATGCCCTACGGGAGGCGGAAGTAGACGTTAAAAATAACAACCGTGGCAGAGGCACGGCCGGCAGTCAGTGCCAAGCACCGCGTCCTTGCATTCATCCATGGGAAAGAAACCGACAGATTTCGGAATAGTGAGCCTGGAGAGAATGGGTCGAGTCCACGTGCAGAGGGCAATGGAGACTCGTCGGCGACATGTCGTAGGAGGCCTCTGTTTATCAGATCCAGATCAAAGCCAGTTTCGCAACTGCATGGCAGACAGACTGGGCGTAAGTACGTGTACCTTATTGGGGGTAAGTGCACGAACCACCTTTCAGGTTGTGCGCAGGCTTTCTGAGCTCTTCCACTTGAAGCCCGGGCAAACATGGCGGTAACAAATTCGAGTGGACAATCTATGAAGGGTATATGAAACAAGGGACTTAAATATACACATATTGAATTTTACACAGAGCAGCGTTGTTGCGGCTTCTCTCCACTGTACCTAGTGTAGATGTAGCTACCGGCGCCATCGAGGCTTTTCCATTTCTCGGAGAATCGGGGTTATGATGTCGGTGCCACTGAGCTGCTCGGGCTTTGGCGTGCGCCGCAGGGAGCAACATTTCTCCCGCAGACAACCCACACAAACGAAACACCAAAACGGGAAGCCAGCAACCGTCTGGCACAACAACACCGGATCATGTTCAAAACCCACGCCATGATATGCCGGGCTTCGCATACAGAAAAACAACAATATAGTCTATTCTCGGTCCCCTCTAGGCCTCCATGAATCAGGTTGTGACCAAGCCATTCGCCAGGGGTGTTCTCTCAAAGTTGCGTTACCCGCCGAGATACTAAAAGACACCCAAGATTTCCCCGAGATGGGAATGAGTATCCCCGATATCGCACCGATAGTCTGTCATTGCTTTGGGCAAACAGCTCAGACACAAACCACATCTCCTTCATGAGCCTCATAAACACTGATTGATCGAAAATAGTCCAAAACATGTGTGATATCTAGCAAGCCAAACTGGCACAATGTTGACATCGCCATCCCGGACAAACGTATTTCCCCAGCACAGCGTCAACTGTGGTCGAGTACCATTTTACACCAACGAACACTTCCCGTAAAGAACGGCCTGGAAGATCGCGGCAATTCCCCCGCACTTTCGGGGGACCTCCTCCCCCAGGTTTCCCAACGTTCCGCCGCACCGACCCCACACCCCAACTCCGCCTTGGAGTTTCAATAATTACTATTCTTCTTCCTTACTGAACAACCGGCCACGAACATCCAATTGTTACGGGGCTAGTTCCGGGGGGTGGTAGAAAGAAAAGGGAACAGTCGATGGCGCCTCAGCGTGTATGGTTTTCCCGCGTTCTCTTATCCTTTATCCTGGACCCCACCTCTTCGGTTTACATCTCACCTCCCAATACCCGGGTCACATGTGTGTGATTTATATGAGCCAGCAGGTCAATAATGGATAGCGTCCTAGTTTTAGCTCCCGAGCTGGTGGGAAACTATAATATAGCTTCATCCTCCTTCTTTGTATCTGTGATCTGAACTCTCAATCTTCATCTTTGGATATTGACCTACACTTTGTGATTATCACTATCACAAAGGGTTTATCAACCGGCATATCACCATGGCCGACTTCCGGGATCTCCGTATTGCCATCATCGGCGCAGGTAAGCCCACCAAGAGTGGCTTCTTCTCGCAGATTACCGAGTACCTAGTTGCTAACGCAGAGGATCACACAGGAATGGGAGGGTTGGGCACTGCCCTTGCCTTTGCCAAAAGGGGTTCAAGAACATCAATGTCTACGAGACAGCGTCGAACCTGGGCTTCGTTGGTGCCGGTATCCAGATGCCTCCCAACGTCGTCAGGGTACTGGACCGTCTAGGCTGCTGGGAAGAGATTGAGAAGGAGGCCACAGATGTCAAGGAGACGAGCATCAGGCGTAAGAGCACAACCCCTTCCAATCCCGGAGAACAAGGAAACTAACCAAGGCATTTCCAAACCAACAGAAGGAAGCACAGACAAAGAGCTCGCCCACGTCTACATGCCCGACATGCGCGAGAAGTACGGGTTCCCGCACTGCACCGGCCACCGCTCCTCTCTCGCCGGCGGTCTCTACAACGGCTGCTTGAAGGAGCCTGCCATCAAGTTTAACTTCGGCACCTCGCTCGTCAAGGTCCTCTCCTGGGCACCCAAGCCGCGTATCCTGCTCAAGTCGCGCACCCAGGAGGATTCCTTTGAAGTCGAGGCCGACATCCTGCTCGCCTCGGACGGCATCAAGTCCATCACGCGCACGCAGATGCTCTCCGAGCTCGGTCTCACGTCCGAGGAGGAGGACACGGGCCAGGCCGCGTATCGAATCATGCTGCACCGCGACCAGATGAGGGACGACCCGGAGATGCTGGCCCTGCTGGACTGCGACACGGTGGTCCGCTGGATCGGCGAGCGGAGACACATCATCGCCTACCCCGTGTCGGGACACAACATCTACAACCTGTCGACGGCGCACCCGGACACCAACTTCGCGGGCGCCACCAACGCAACGTACACGACGCGCGGCGAAAAGAAGGCCATGTTCGAGGTGTTTGGCACCTTCTGCCCGCTCGTGCAGCGCATGCTCGACCTGGTGCCCGAGGGCGAGGTGTGCGAGTGGAAGCTGCGCATCCACAAGACGCTTCCCACGTGGGTGCACGGGTCCGCCGCGCTGCTGGGCGACGCCTGCCACGCTACCCTGCCGCATCTCAGCCAGGGCGCCGCCATGGCCATCGAGGACGGAGCGGTGCTGGCCGAGTGCGTGAGCAGGATTCCTGCTGATAAGCTGGATGATCCCGAGACGGTCACCAAGACGCTCAAGGTGTTTGAGATGCTGCGCAAGCCGTATACGTCGACCTTGGTCGACTTGGCGTCGCACTCGGGCCGTGTGCTACATCTCGGTGAGGGCAAGGCGAAGGAGGAGCGTGATCGGCTGTTCCGTGAAAACGGCAAGTCCGGTGTAGTACCGGATAAGTGGGCAAGCCCTGATGTGCAGAAGATGATTTATTCGCATGACTGTGTGAAGGAGGTGACTGAGAAGTTTGATGAGGTCTTTGCAAGCATTGCATGAATGGGTATGAGGAAGGATGTATGATGATGGTACTGTACTTTGTTGACGGTATGATGTGTAGCGCGGCGTAGAATGGCGTTTGGAGTTGAAGCTTTACGACTTTACCTACTGTCTCATGAATCCCAGTCCGCAAAAGTCGTTATTTGTTTCCAGCCACGCATGTTTCATGATAAACTTGCACCTTCACTAGTGCAAGAGCAGCAGAATTCCTGCAACCTACTCCTCCATTCAGCTTTGTCTGTTCCTATAAACAAAAATCACGCATTGGAGACGACTGGTGATAGACTGTGATGAATCATGTCAACCAAATTCAAAACACGCGGATGCAAAAAGAACCGCCTGTTAAGGCAAGAAAGAAAGCTGGTTTACTGGTATAGGAAGAGAAGAAAAAGCTAACATTAATCGAAAAGTAAAACAAGCTAAAAGCAACTGTGTGTAACCAGATTCCCCCTTGCGCCTCCCAAATGCGTGAATCGACCAAAGCTTGGTCCCTTCCAAAGAAACCTCTCTGAAGTTTCATATGCCCGATGTGTAACTACCGTCTCCCCAATCAGAGCAAAACGGTCATTGGTGCTGCCCATCGCGTCGCGGCCAAGGCAACAAACATCCATCCTATCCTGCCCCGAATTCCTTCCCTTCGCGCATCATGTCGATGCCATTATTCTGTTGTTGTAAATTCGTTTCTGACATTGGTCCCGTTACGGTAATACTCGGTTCGTATGCGGAATGGGTTTGGTTTAGAAGATAGCATCCAAGCAGCAGCAGACGGCGCAAGTACCCAGAATTGCCAAGCAAATGTTCTGTGAGGGAAAAAAAAAAAAAGGCCAAAGTTAGCAACAGTGATTCATAGCAGATACAATTTACCCCCGCAGGAGAGAACTCACATCAGAGTTGCTCTTCCGCTCTTCCGGCTGCTGGTAGTACCCTTGCGGCGGGGGTCCCTGCTGATAATACGCTCCCGGTGGAGGTTGCTGTTGCTGATAGTAGCCCATCTGTGGCCCCTGCTGGTACGGTCCTGGCTGTTGTCCGTATTGGCCTGGAGGCGGGTAGTTGGGATCCTGAGGAGGATAATAGCCGCCTTGGGGCTGGCCGTAGGGAGTACCGCCCTGCGGCGGGGGAGCGCCGTAGCCGGCGTAGGCAGCCGGGGAGGCTGAGGCTGGTTGTATGGGGGTGGATCTTGCTTGCCGTAGTCCATGTTGTCTGAGATCTTTGGGAATTCGAGAGTGTGTGTGACGAAAGGTGATGTTGTGGGGTTGAAAGTTGGACACACAGCAGTCGACTGTCTACAATGCGACGGGTTTCTTGATGATGGTCTGACCCTCGATGTCGTTCGTTCGTTCGCTGGGCGCGCGGGGAAGGATCGAGATCGTTGGTCGATCTTCAGCCGGTATCTGAGTACAGTCTGGTGGATATGGCTGAGACAACACAAGATGCCCAAGAGTCACTAGCCGTTTCCGTATGCGAATTTAGGTATGCTTGAAAGAAAAGAGGGGTGGAAATGGAGGGAGTGAGGTGAGGTGGATTTTGGTTGCGGGATGGACGGGGTTAAAAAGCAGACGGAAACGACGGGGAGGCTTTGTTTCCGAGGCGCAGCGGTGGTCGCGTGGCAAGCTGCAGTGTTAAGAAGCTGCTAGTGGGATGGAAGGAAACGTGCAGGATGACTGACCCGTATGCGGGAATTGATTACATTGCACTAACGGCCGGGTATCTCTTACAATCACTTGCCCCTCCCGTCTGGGCCCAACGACGACGGTAACGGAACCCTTCTCGAACCACATCGACATCGACATCCCGCTATAACACCCATATTACACATCGAGTTGGTCAAATCCATTGTCAATAAAATGAGACATGGCTTGAAACGGCAAGAGAAGTGTCCTCTTGCTGGTCGTCAAGGCTAGAAAAGGGGGCATATCAAGTGGAAATTAGATAGCGATTTAATGAAGCGTTGCCAAGTCCGGCAATTCGAGGGGGTGGGATTCAACGATATCTTCCCTGTGGATCTGTGCAGCTTTCGACGTGTTCCATCGTTTCCTATAAAGTTCTTCGGCCTCCAGCATTCGTTCTTGTATCATGATGATTGGCACTTCACTTAAGTCGTTGGGTCATCAAACTGTCTGTGTATCATCGGTTGGTTGTCATTTTCCCCAAACATTGAAAGGCTTACGTGGAAAGCTGCGCCACTGCGGTTTCGGTTTGCTCCCTTGATGAAGATCCAACATTCCGTGCCGCTATTCGTTGGCTAATATGTGATGCGTGTTGTCAAGACGAAGAGTTGAAGTATACATAGGCTTTTACGGCTAGACGACTCTCTGTCCATGGGAAGATTCCATATCATCTCATCCGGCTGCCTTGATAGAGGCTAGGATATGGGTTCGTACAAAAAATGTAGTTTACGGGTGACATCTGAGCCCACGTCTGCGCCATTCCTGTTCGGATCTTATGTCCTTTTGCTCCGGGTATTGAGGGTGCGCTACTAACAACGTGCCACAGTAAAGACTCACATGGGTGTTAGTGGATCTAGGGAATCCACTGGATCTCGGTATACCTCCATCGTGAGATTCACCAATGGGCCTTGGCATTTTCAACCACGCATGCTCTTTTCAGTTTTCACCAATATCAATTTCGACACTCACTCACTCACTTCTCAATTTCTCATCCACAGCAAAAGGAACTGAGCGACCGCTTCATAATCTGCCTGCAACCTCAACCTGGCCTCTCATTTCGCTCTTGGGAGTTGAGAGCTATAGCCAGCACGGTACCAACCGAAAGTTATCGGCAGCCACGTATCAACTATACCTCATCGGCCTTCTTCACCACGGCGAGAGACAATTATAAATACAAGATGACGTCCACCAATCCGCCAACAGAGCCTCAAGCAACAGCTTCCTCCGATGGCCTCCTCGACTTCCCCGCCGCCTCAGCCGTCAAACTCGAACCGCATCTTCCACCAGTTACCAGCACCAGCACCAGCACCAACACCAGCACCAACACCAACACCAACGCAAAGAAGCCCTTCGTAACCCTAACCTTCGCCACATCCCTCGACTCCTCCCTCTCCCTCGCCCCAGGAGTCCGCACCACCCTTTCCGGCCCGCAATCCAAAGCCATGACGCATTACCTACGCTCTCGCCACGCCGCCATCCTGGTGGGCGTCGGAACAGCCGTGGCTGATGATCCGGGGTTGAACTGCAAGATACTGTCTCCTTTTGTTGCGGAAGCAGGAGTTAGGGAGCAGCATCCCAACCAGCCTCGACCCATCATCCTTGACCCTTCTGCGCGGTGGGAAGTTAATGAGCAGAGTAAGGTTATCCAGCTTGCTAGACTGGGACAGGGGTTGGGGCCGTTTATATTTGTGGCGAAAGAGGTGAGCAGTGTGTCGGAAGAGAGGAGGGCGGTTGTGGAGAGTGTTGGGGGGAAGTTTGTGCATGTCAAGAGTGTTGAGGGTGAGGGATTCGCATGGGCAGACGTGTTGCGGGCGATCAAGAAAGAAGGGTTGGATAGTGTGATGATTGAGGGGGGGGGAAGTGTGATTAACTCGTTGCTGACTCTGGAGCAGGGAGGAGAGCAAGAGTTGGTGGACTCGGTGATTGTTACGATTGCACCGACGTGGTTGGGGGCTGGAGGTGTGCTGGTTTGTCCGCCGAGGGTGATAGGGAAGGATGGACAGCCGGCGCCGCCGGTGAGGCTTAGGGATGTGTCGTGGCATCCGTTGGGAGAGGATGTAGTGTTGTGTGGTAAGATTCTGAGGTAGAGTTTGGGCGGCGGAATTTGAAGCCACAATAAGCCAAATCAAGAGTGTGCACAACATGTATCATATTTGTTGATTTGCTGAATCAGTTCTCCGAAAAACACCTTGCTCTTGTTCATATCAGATGGACATTCAGACTTGTAACTGATCTTTGACCATCCATATTAGTATATATTTGACGATAGCCAAGTAAAGTCTATGATGACCAGAGACACAATTACCAACGTAACCTGCCCGACATTCATCCGAGGCACCAAATTCATTCTTTCCTGTCCATCGCTTCCGCGCAAGCTCCAATGCGCCGCTACTCATTCCTATCGCGCTTCGGTTGCTCAGGATGACTTCTTCAATCCAAACAGATTTCTCTTCTTCTTTTCCTTTACTGGCTTCTCTGGCTTCCCAGCTGGCGGAGCTGGAGGCCTTGCGCTACTGCCACCAGCATGCGGAGGAGCCGCGCCGCTGTTGATTGTCATCGCACCCATTGCCTGCGTTGGAGGGTGTGCCGATCCAGCTGCAGGAGGTGCGGCGGGCCGCTGCATAGGCTGTGGTGGAGGCTTCGGCTTAGCATAAAAGTGCTCAGGGACCTTGGGTTGCGGCCGATCCATCGGCAGGCCGAGTCTCCTCCTATCCATCGAAAGGTCCTCCAGCTGTCTTAAGTAGAGTTGTGGCGTGAGCATGTGGCTGGATACAAGATAAATGTCGCGGTTTCGCTTCTCCGATTCTTCGTAGCATATCCGCGCCTCCGAGTAGGTTGCACCGCCGGCCATGAACACGATAACCCTCTGTCGATTCTCGACCTGTCGGCGATTGGCTGATGCCCACCTCGGTGCGGCCGAGCGAAGCGATTGTCCAGGTGCCATGGCAGTGTCGGCAGCCCCACCATCCGCTGGGGGCCGTGTAAAGGGGAAAGTTGCTGGGTCGAGAATGTTGTTGAACAGATCCTCAAGCATGTGCTTAACAGCAGGCTCGAACCGAGACAGAAAATTGTCTTCGTCCCCTGGGTTCTTGACTGGGGTTCGCGGGAAAAGCGGAGGATGCGGTTTCCGTTCTTCCTTCAGCTTCCGCGTAGGCCGGGCACCCAACTGCTGCAGATTGGTGATTTTGATCTTTTCATTTGGCTGCAAGGCCGCATGGCTAAGCAGCCTGTCGATGTCCTCGGTGATAACTCCGTCGCGATATAGCACGTAGATAGCAATTAGCCGTAACCGTTCCACCCAGGTAATAGCTTCATCATCCAAAAGCCGGACCATCTGTTCCAGGATGCTTTTGGGCTTCTTGTAATCCTCATCAAGACCGGTAGCGAGTGTCTGTTCGACCGAAGCAACGTCGGGCAACTTGCGACGCTGGAAGATGTTCATGGACTCCTGAGCCATGGTGAGGTGAAGCGAATAGGCCTCTTTCATTTCCTGGAACTGTGGCAGGCCAGCCAACATGTCCCTGATTGCATTCAAACTCGTCGTATCCTGGGTTTGGTTGGTGAAGTTGGGGTTCTGCTTGATGAAGTTTTGGAAGTCGCTCATGAGCTTTTCAATCGTGTCCTTCATGTGCCGATGCCGATTCTCCACCCACACCTTGTCTTTATCAGACAATTCCATGTCTTTCTCCTCGGCCTCTGGCGTGCCCTCGTTGACAGTCATATGGAAGGTCACTTTGTCGCCTTCCTTGATGGGGAGGAGGTCGTGCGCCATCGCCTGGTACGTGAACTCGTGAACCAATGGTGCCATCAAGTCCATCGACCTGTCCGCAATCAGTAGGTAACCTTGTGGCCGTGTCGTTGGCGGCGGGAAGTCGCCCTTGAACTGTTTGTAAGCATCAAGCTCGTCTTGTACGAGCGAGGCAAGGCGTCCACATAGTGCGCTCGCACGGTATTCGTTGTTCCTGGGTGCGAAGAACCTGATCTTTGGATACTCGCCCAATGTTATGCATACGGCGGCAATCTGTGACAGCTTTAGTCCACGGCACGATAGCCAGGGGCGCTCCGGATTTCCTATGCTATACCTTTTGAGCAAGAGCGTCCAAATGCGGCATTGCAACGGCCTCGCAGCTCGGGTTATATAGTATGGGGAAGCTATATGGGTCCTTAAAAGACACCAGATGTGACTCGCGAGGGAAGAAGTCAATCAATAGCGGTCGCGAATCTTTACGCAGGTCTTGGTCAGCGAATACCCCTTGACGTCGTCCCATCACTAGATATAGTACCTATTTTCTGAGGAGCAGTGGCTAGTCGTGCCCTCAGCTCCCTCCCAAGAATGCCTGTCCATAGCACGGTAGAGTTGCGGTAGCGGCCCTTGGCCAAATCAAGGATGAGGCATTCGACGATATGCGGACGGGGCGACAAGATGTAGATAGCATCCATGCCCGAATTCTCGTCTCTCGGTTCCTCGATTTGTTGGATATTGGCGATATTGACATTGAGAATGTCATCTTCTTTGACGGAATTGTCGATAATCTTTTTGGAGACGTCGTCGACTATTAGGATCCTCCACTATAGTCCACGGTTGCATCAGTATGGGATCCTGTCGACGGCGGTGGAAGGACGGTATGGGGTTGTGCTCACGTCGCGCTGGACAACCTGTTTGATGGCATTGATGATAGCTGTATGGCAGAGATGTTAGCAGCTGTTCTCTATGCCAGCTCTTGTGGACTACGGGAACTGTCGCATACCATCATGATGCTCCTTTACTATGGAGGCTGCTTGGTCCATAGCTGCTGAAGGGAGTTGGAATGTTCTGGTTAGGGCAGAGCCGGCTCTTGCCTTTGTTTACAGTCGAAAGTCCTCGGAGGATTGAGGAGCAGAATGGGTTTGGCGTGATTGTCGGAGTCGCGGGAACGTAAAGGCAAGACCATCTAGATGTGACGACTCGACGACGAGGGGGATGGCGATGCGCGGCGGCGGCGGCGGTCTGTGACAAGGTGAGGCTGTTGTTGTTGGCTGTTCTTTGCAAAGAGACGGATCCGGAGACAGGGAGAGAAAGCGGGACGGAAGAAGGTCAGAATGTTTCCATAAACTCGCTATGTGTTTTATTTCGTATTAATTTCGTTTGTATGGGGGAGAAGTGCTCATCATTCCCCAGCGAGCCGCGAGGTTCGAAACAGCCGACACGGTTCCAGGTTGAAGGAGGTCCGTCTCGCGGTGTAGCATTGCGGGTCGGGCAGGTACCTCCATAACTGGCGGGGACCATTGTCATCGGTGCAGGGGTCCGTCTAGGGAACACCGCCCGTGGTTCTGTGGTGCGCTAGGGCCTCTTTGACAAAACAACTCCCTTCGAGCTCAGGAGGGGTCTTTGTCCATCTTCTCCCTGACCCTGTTATCCAGCGACACGCTGGTACTTCCACTGTTACCGTGATGGCAATCGCGCCCAGTTCCATGCCGACACACAACGAGGAGGAGCCTGGTAACCCTGGAAGCTAAAACCCACCATCAACCGTCACTCATGAGTATCTACACTAGAGGTACATGACGAAAGCCTGAAGATGACGCCGGATACAGTGCCTACTCGATCGAGACCGAGGGCCGCCACACTTGGCTTTCAAAAGATATCCTGGCTTTGAGCGGTAAATAGACATCCAGCTGATTGTGGAAGCTGCCTCCCACCTGTCAGGACCGCATCGGCGACCGCTTGAAGCGCACGCACACGAGGCTCGGCACACTCCGACGGCGAGCAAGCTCCAGCGTTCCATGCCCTGAACGGGCTTTGTCCCACCGGCTCCCGAAGTGTGGGGTTCCCTCGGGACTGGTCCCACTCCGGCGCCGGCCCGGTCCATCTCCACATCACGGAGGTTAGGGTCGATCCCATCAGTGAATCCGCTACATAATCTATAGTCTACCCCCTCTACGAAACTAGGTTGAGGTCAAATTCAAGAGACGAGATGGGTCGAACCAACGAAGCTTGTCGATTCCTGGACGAATCCAACAGCTCAAACAACCCTCACGGCGCTTCAACATTCATCGTGTCTCAAAAGGTGCCTGCTACAGACAGCGACTTAAGGATGTACAAGCGGGAGTTGCTGTTGTTGACCGCAAGATCGTCAACGCGATTTTCTAATGCTCAGTTTCCGATCAGCGTCATGCTTGACGAGCATTGAGACACTCGGGGCCCTAATACTCACCAGCTGGATGTGTATAGGGGCGTGACGAATCTTGGCCCATCAAGAAAGATGGTCACCATGCAGGAGTGATGTGTCCTCCCCTTGCATTATTCACAGAAACATTGGACAACGGTGGTATCTTCAGGCGGATAAAAGCAAGATATCGTCCTTACGATTTACTCCGCGAAGCTGATGTCTAATGATCCCGTTAGTCCAGCATCACGGGAATTGGCGAAGATGGTCACCCAGGCGTATCACTCCCACATCAACCGGTCTGCAATAGCCCCGTGTGGACAGTATGTTCAATACGTGGTATAAGAGACGCCCTCTACTGAATACACAACTGGACAGTCAAGTTGCCTCTGGCTATCTACCTCGATTTGACTCTTGAGGATTACCGGGGCAACGGTTCCCGCGAACCTTCGAAGTGACTAAGGATTTTTACCTGCTATCAGGTTGTGAAATACTCGGCAGAATGGATGAAACCCATATTCACCCAGAACTCCATTCACTCAAGAATCTGAACAGTCCTTGGGTCATATTTAAAGTTGCAGTCAACTTCCTTGCCCTTTCCTCCTCTTCAACCAACCCGAGAGGTCGAACCGACAACTTCGTCACCTCTCTATACTCCGATACATCCCTGATCCAACCCTCGTCTCGATCTTTGACTACAAGATGTCCACCAACCTTTCGACTGGCGCCGTTCTGCACGATGTCGAGCGCACAGCTGGCAAAAAGGAACATGGACAGCACGCCGACCACCGAGCACAGACAACAACAACAACAACAACAACGACAACCACAGGGACTCGAGTATTCAGTTCCTCGTCCTGGCGGAGGTTCCTACAACAGAGCCAAGAGGCCAAAGTCAACAACATGAACATCTCTCTCAAGGAGAATCCAAAGTGGTACCAGAAGCTCCTCGACGCCGGAGTCGAGGAAAACGGGATCCAGCCGGTTCCGATTGAGGGGAGGACTTCGACGCAGTACAACCAGTTGTTTACTGTTTTCTTTACTTGTTTGTTGTGTTTACTTCCGTGAGTCATTCATCATCCTATCCTTCAGTCGGTGCCAGGCGAAACCTACGTAGCATACCTGATTGACTGATTGCTAACTCGACATGTTTCGGTTTTTTAAAGGGTCCCAACCGGCATGGTAGCCACTCTCGAGTTTGGCCTGAGTCTCAAGAGACGCATCGCTAGTCATCATCTTCTTTGCGCTGCTTACCTGCCTCCCACCTGCCTTCATGGGGATTGGAGGAATGGAGACGGGCATGAGGCAGTTTGTTCAAGCTCGGTATTCGTTCGGGTGAGTTTAGTTTCCGCATTCGCATCTACCAGACATCCGCCTCTCTTTTATGTGCAAGGGCCACCTCCTAATTGAAACCCCCTCTGTGTCACAGTCTCTACCTAGTAATCATCCCCCTCCTCCTCAACGCCGCCACCGTGACCGGCTTCTCCCTCATGTCCGCCATCGCCGGCGGGCAGACCCTCGCAGCCCTCAACCCCTCCCACGTGAGCGTCAACGTAGGCATCATCATCACCTGCCTCGTCGCCTTCGGCGTCTCCCTCCTCGGCTTCAACTTCGTCCACTTCTGGCAACGATAGACCTGGATTCCCAACCTCGTAGCTCTTGTCGTCACCGTCGGTTGTGGCGGCCGCTACCTCCATCTACAGACCCAGCCTGCATCACCGGCCACTCCCACGCAGATCCTCAACCTCAGCAGTCTCGTAGCGGGCTATTTTCTCACTTTCGGCGGGACGGTGAGTGATTACTCTGTTTACCATAACCCGAACCAAACCCGTTTCGAACTGGCCCGTTCAGCGCCCGAGCTCGCATCTTCACCTATATCTACCTCGGCCTGCTCCTCTCCTCGGTCCCACTTTTGATCCTGGGAGCTGCCATCGGCGGCGCCGTACCCCAGGTCCCTGAGTGGCAAGCCGCTTACGCCTCGACGGGCATCGGGGGCGTGATGATGGAGATGTTGCAGCCGGCGGGAGGGTTTGGAAAAGTGGTGTTGGTGGTGCTTGTGCTCAGCGTGATTGGGAACATCGCCATCTCCATGTACAGTATCTCACTGAATTTGGAGATGTTGGTTCCGGGGTGTTTTATGCGCGCTCGGCGCGTGCGCGGACTTCGGTTTGTCTTCATCCTGGTGACCATGGCGGTCATGATCCCGTTGGCGGTGCAGGCCGCGAAGCAGTGGGGACGAAGTTGCCACCTGGATTGGCGGCCATAGGTGCCTCGATGCTGAGTTGGGCGCTGGTGGTCCCGGGAATGGCGCAGTCGTGGTATGTTGGCCCGATTGCGAAGATAACAGGAGATATCGGGTTTGAGATGGCTTTTGTGCTGACCGGATTGTTGTACCTGCCTTTAAGATGGGTGGAGATCAAGGCCCGGGGGGGGGGCTTTGACGGATGAGATGTGTGTGACTTGAGTCCCGCCGAACATGGACAGGAGACACAGGTTACTCAAAAAGAGCAGTAAAGGTGTATCCACCATAGCCATTAGACATATCAGGGGAAAAAAGGGAAAAAAGAGAAGAAAAAAAAAGACATATCGGGGACTCGTATAGTTGTCATCCGAAAGTCCGCTATTGTTCGAGCTTGCTAATACAGAGGAGTTCCGTCCTTCAGACCCAAATCACTCGAGCGACTTGGAGACTGACAATTGTCCTGGTATCGAATGGTATCAACATCTTTCAAATACCCTGTACAGGCCCTTCAGGTTTGCCACTTCAAGAATGCCGGTCTGCATCAGCGACTTAGTAGCCACAAGCCTTGACTTGAAAGCCGGAAAAAGGACATGTTCCAACGCCCAACGAACATGATCTCTTCGAGCAACCGTTTCGGCATCGACATGCTTGTCGCCACCTTGGACAGCTGCCGGATCATCATTACCGATAGTAGCTGGCAATCGCTCAGGGACATAGAACATGGCCAATTCTTTGAGGAAGCCCTCGAAACAGGCCTTCTCTTCTGACCAGTCTACACGTGGCCCAAGTTCTAGGAGAAAACGCGGCAACTTGGCCATAGACGGCGTGTAGCCTTTGATGAGCAGTGGGATGCTTAGCAGCTCGCCGGCCGGAGAAATTTCGAAAGAGAAGTACTCGAGAAGCATCTCTCGCCGCTCGATCAACTGATCTGCCACCAACTCGACGATTTCAGACACGTCCATTTCATCATCTCTGCCTCCTCCGGATGCATCAGCCGTGGATGATCTCTCAAACTCGGCGGCCATGTTGAGCAGCTCTCGAAGATCAAGGGGCGGGTCAAAACGTATGGTACCAAAGTTTCCGAAATCCGTCAAGCCCAGTTGGTAAAAGTATTCATAGCATACCCGCCCATAGTCGACAAGATACAGCTTGACACCACCCTGGATGGCGGCGAGACGACGGCGCTCATCTACAATACCGACAAACGTATGATTGGCCAAGATCTCGGTCAGTTCGTGGTGCATCTCTTCGCGGACTTCGGCGCGCAGTTCGCGTACACTGATCAACCGACAGGCAGTAGCCTCACGCTCCACTGTCTCGTAATTGATCACCTCGGCTTCCTTGTTTGTTCCAATCATGGTTGCTTTGACGCCAGAGGTGGACGAGATTCCATCACCTCCTGCCACTGGTCCCATATTTGACGCTGGCGGTAACATACTGGTTATCTTACGCATGTTGGTGTCAGTCCGTACAAGACTCGATTCATTGCGTGCTGGGGTCTTGCGGGCTCCTGAAGCTGCACCGCTGGTCTTGGATGGGGTGCTTGAAGAAGCTTGTTGATCTGAGGCCGACCATGTACCGCCAGGGAGAAGGGTCTGGGTAAGAAAGGTTCGGCTAGTGTCGACAGCAGCCAACTTTGATCGGATATGCTCGCAGATGGCCTGGATGATCTCATGTTCGTTTAGGAAGTTCACTTCGCGTTTCGTAGGGTGAACATTAACGTCAACCCGCTCAGGGGCAATTTCTAGGCTGAGGTAAACAAAAGGGTGGCCGTTTTTGGGAAGAAAGGATGCATATGTTTGTTCAACCGCCTTTCGAATGTTGGAAGACTCGACGCATCTGTGATTGATGAAGAGCAGCAGAGTTGTCTTTTTGAGATTGTAGTTCGCATTAGTAGCCAGGCCCATTGCCTTGAAACCCCACCGGTCATCGGATGTCGAGTACTCGATGAGTTCATTGGCAACGCTCCCTCCGTATATCTGCCGGATTCTGTCGGTGCTCGAAGCAGTGGCTTGAATGGTAATGCTTGTTGATGACTCGCCATGCTTTTTACACGAGAAAGCGACGTGCGAACAATGTACGGCATAGCGACCAACCATGTCGATGATTTTGTTGTACTCGTCGGAGGTAGATCGAAAGGCGCGCCGTCGGGTTGGAATGTTATAGAACAGGTCCTCAACGGTAATTTGCGTACCTTGTCGACCAGCGACAGGCTTTGGATCAGGGGACTGGCCGGGTTTCGCTGGGACCAGTTTTCCACTCCCATAGTGAGCACGCCAGGCACAGTTGGATTCCTGAGTCTTGGTGGTAACAGTCAGGTGTGCAACGTGGCTTATGCTGGCGAGAGCCTCACCGCGGAAGCCATAGGTCGAGATGGACTGAAGATCTTCAAACTTTTGCAACTTCGACGTGGTAAAGCGCTCGCATAGAATGGGCAAGTCTTGCTTGTCAATACCGTAGCCATTGTCTGTGATCTGGAGGAGTTTGAGGCCACCATCCTTGACCACGATTTCCAACGAAGTAGACCCGGCATCCACGGCATTCTCCATCAATTCCTTGAGAGCATGCACCGGAGCAATGATGATCTCGCCAGCGGCAATCTTGTTGACAACATCTGGGTCGAGAGCCTACGAGAGCCTGTCAGCCATGTCATTATCTTGATATAGGTATGGGGAACGGGTTTCCTTTACCCTGATTCGACGTGGAGCATGGCCGCTGTCATCGCCGAGAACGCTGGCCTTGCGTTTTTCACCTCTCGGGCCGTCAATGGCCATCGCATCAGCCATTGAATCGGCCATCATGCAGAAATTTGCCCTCGCGAGATGACCAGATTATCGACAGTAGGCACAATGGAGACCTAGCAAGCTCGTCTAGGTATAGCAGTTGGCTGTCTCACGAGAGGTATCTAACGACGGCGTGAAGAAAGTCGCCAAGTTTCCTCTGCTAGACGCGCTGGGCGGTTTGGTTTGCGACTAACAAATATGGTCCATCTGTTCCAAGGAGCAAACGCGATAACGTCAGGTTGCCGTTCCACTGCAAGAATCAATGGTCTTTGGTCAAGCTTTGACAGGTTGGAGGAAAAAAGCCAGTCCTACTTTCCGTGACGGACGAACCTGGTCACTCCTACTTTCGTGGTTGAAGTTGAGGTTGTTAGTTACCCGTGCAGGGTAAAGGTGTGAACAAGATGTCTACAGCGGAGGGCAACAGCGGCCTCCGGTCCCTGAGTGACCAACGCAGCGGCCCAGTCATGACTGCGTTACAGCTATAGTGGGTCTTAGGCACGTGCAATACGGTCGATACAGGTCCCGTCATGGGGGTCGTTATCCAGGTCCCAGCTTTTTCTCCCAATTACCTATTTTGGCAGGTGCAGCGCCTGACACGAGCCACCGCACGGACGCAAAACTAATATTACATGTAACTTCCGTAGCCCGTATATAATATACTTAAGTAAAAACTGCAGCGGTATATAAATGCTTATATAGCAGTTGTGTACGCTTCCGGTCCTGTATATTAGCTAGTATTTTAATAATAATACTAGTATTATTGTACAAATAGTAAATTTGATATTAAATATTTGAAATTTTATTACCTAATAGAGATAATAAAATACACTTTACTTTCAAGTATTGAATATTCAAATTAAGAATTGAAAGACTTTATTTTAAGTATTACAAAATAGAATATTGAAGTTTAAGTTTATATGTAAAGAACGGTATTTAACGATTGGAATAACTATAAAAAAGATTTGTTTGTAAAAAATTTATTGCTAAATACCGTTTCTTTTTTCTCATTTTTTAGTACCGCTTTTAAGACTTCTAAAGAGGTATTAGTAATGTTCTAATGTAATTTAAATAATGATGTTAAAATAAAAAAAGTAGAAAAAGTAAGTTAAATGAATAATATCTTAATAATTACTAATTAATATTTAAAAAGAGTAAAATTACTTGAGTTTTGTAAACAGTTATTTAAATGTTAGAAAAAATATTAGTATTACTCTTTTGAATAATCTCTTCCTTAATTTACTTCTTATTAATTTTTTTATCCTTACTGTTACCCTTATCTTTACTTTTATTTTTAGCTTTATTTTCATCATTATTTTTATCTTTACCTGTGACGAACGGCAGTCTGACTTGCCTAAATGAGATAGTTGAAGGTAAAGACTATCAGTGCTGTTCGGTGAAGCCAAAAAAGTTCACAACAAGTATGCTCGTATACTGGTCTCGGCGATAATGATCTATTGACTACTGTTGAACTATCTGGCAATGTGAGTTCTCCCGTAGTCCCTTTATACCTGCTCGCGCTCTGCGAGATATCTGTTTCCGGATGTCCACGTAGACGTGAACCCCATAGCGTGTGGTTTACAAGCTGGCTCGATTCGTGAGTCTGGCTCGACTGGTGAGCCTGGCTTGACTCCCCAGACCCCTTGCCTGTCCAAAGCTCTTTTCCTGTCTCTGGTTATACTGCCTAGCTTACGTGTGGCTGTTGTGTACTAGTGGCTTGGTTAGCCCGTGCTCGTCATTATCAGCTCGTAACATTACTCTTATCTTTACTAATATATTTATTAATATTCTTCTTACTAATTTACTTGCTATTTTATTTATTTTTTAAAATCATCGACGTTACTAACATTGTACTATTTTGATACAAATTAATGAAAAATTTTATTTAGCGACTTTAAACTTAAAATTTTACAATATTATTATTTGTAGTGTTAAGGCTAATTTAAATGATTATGGTAGTTTTAGCAAAGGTAAGTAAATAAATACTAAGGTTATAACAGGCTAGGGTGCATATGCCCAGACTGCCAAAACTTACAAAAGATAGGACAATGTTCTGCTTGTAACGCAGAACTCGGAATTCACACTATATAGCCAATGTCAACCTGTGACAGGTAATTAGTAATTTTTCTCACGATTTTAATTTGGCAAATATATAAAGCAAGCCCATTTTTTTTAAATTTCTTCTTTTTTTTCATAATTTCGACTTTAGTATTTTTTTAATTATGAATTGCATTTAAAGAATAGAGAAATGGTTATTACTAAGTATTGGAAATATAAAAGAGTTTATATTCAAGTAGTTAGGGGCGGTAGTAGCAGTTTTTTCCGTTTTTCTAGCGGCTGATATAATTTTCGTAATATTCAAGTACTCCTTTATAAATACGACAGAGTATTTGGCATTCTGTCACAAGATAACCTGTGACTACCAATAATACTGCTATTGTAGTAGAGCGCACCCGCCGTCGCGGTCATGCGCTCCTGCTGGTACAGTTATATTGTTACGAACTGATAATGACAGGCACGAGCCAACCAAGCCACCGGTACACAACAGCCACGCGTAAGCTAGGCAGTGTAACCAGAGGCAGAGAAAGAGCTCTGGGCAGGCAAGGGCTCTGGGGAGTCAAGCCAGGCTCACGAATCGAGCCAGCTTGTAAACCACACGCTATGGGGTTCACGTCTACGTGGACATCCGGAAACAGATATCTCGCAGAGCGCGAGCAGGTATAAAGGGACTACGGGAGAACTCACATTGCCAGATAGTTCAACAGTAGTTAATAGATCACTATCACTGAGACCAGTATTACGTGTCACGGCGCTGGCGGACCACTACATCACTAGGCTATGTTCCAAAAGGATACAAGTAACCGAAGCTGGCAATTCGGTCGCTCAAGTGGTCTTATATAGTTGTGATGGCAGTCGAGAGGCACAAATGCAAGGCTGCCATCACAAATAGTTTAATCAGCTTTCTATACTATAGGATAGTACAAGACAGTTACAAGCCACAGTACTAGCCACACGTTAATAATACTGAAAAGTAATAATATTACAAACTAGATTAGTAACTTTTATTTTAAAATAGTAAATTTTTATAATAGTATCTAATTCACACTTACTAAAAGTAATAAATTCATTGTTAAAATTAAATTACTTTATATTCGGAGTTATTCTATAGTTTCTAATGTTCCAATATACGTTTATAGTAAAATTGGTAAGCGAATTAATAATAACCTACTATTTTTACTTCGTAGTATTTTTCTTATAGATAATGAGTGTTATTTGAAGAAATAAGGCCCGAAAATATAACTTCTTAAATAGTCGAAGATTTAAGTAAATTTAAAAAGTTCGTTTTAATTAAAATACTAAGTATTGTAGAACTAGTATATTTTGATTTTATTGTGCTGAATTTAGAAACCTTCAGTATATGTAATAGTTCAATACATTCTTACTAATATAGACGGCGGGGTCCTTACTAGTACGGACCTTAAGAGTAAATATATTTTCATCATTAGAATTGAAAAAGGGATATTTAAAAGGAAAAAGAATTAATTACGGATAGCCTGTTTAAAGTTGCATATTTAACCAATAGTGTTCTTATAAATCTTATCAAAATTATCATTAATAATAGCTAAAATATCATTAGCTTCAATAAAAGTATTGTTAATTCTACTAGTAATAGTATTCTTATCAATAATCAAATTGAAAAGATTTGTAATTTATTAGAAAGTAGCGTTTAAATTTTTTTTATTACAATTACGAAACGGTTAATGATAATTATCTTTTTATAAATTAGTCGCGTGATAGTATAGATAATATAAATAAAATCTACGTATTAAGTTAATTAGGACGTAATATTCAAAATGGACTCGTCTAGCGGGATAGCTAATATTTAATTACTTACTATAGCTTCTATAAAATTCTCGTAAAATTACTTGCTTATAAAGTCAATAATGAAACTAATAGCAAAAATTGCAATATAGTTATCATTAATAATAACTATTAATTAATCTACCTAAATGATAGTGAGTTTTACTTTATAGATATTTGTTAATAATAGGGATTGTGATGTAATAAAAGTTTCTTTTCGTAGTACAATTAAAGCTTATGTGAAAGTTCGTTAGAAATATTTATAATAGCTTTAAGAGTTTTACGAGGTATACACGCAGGTAGGCCTTGGTAAAAGTGATAATATTCGACAAAGAGGAAAAGAGAAGTCTGTGCCAGTATAGCATAGAGCTTACAGCTAAATACACAAGAGAGGTGCGGATATCGAAGGTGCTAGAACGCCAAGGTCGAATATGTGGTTCGTGCGGCGCACCTCAGGAGTGCACCCAGTCGGAGGGCAGGCCTAGCTTACATAGAGTTCAAGCTAGGCAAACACCCCTAGGCGCCAGCCCCATGACAATAGCGGCAAATAAAGTTATAAATATACGTTCGCAGCTGTGACAGGCTAGGGTGCATATGCCCAGACGGCCAAACCTACAAAAGATAGGACGATGTTCTGCTTGTAAGGCAGAACTCGGAATGCACACTATATAGCCAATGTCAACCTGTGACAGCAGCTTAGTAGTTAGGTAATATTAACTATTGCAGAGCAAACGAACTTTAGAAGAGTATGTTAGATAAATATATTTATATAAAGAAATAAACAAAGTTAGGAAAGTTAGTAGACTAGCGTTATATAAATTAGGACAAAGCTATACCTTAAGACAGACCTACTAAACTTACTAATACAGCTGTGTACGAGACTATATAATGTAGTTAGCTAATAACTAGTAGCTAATATATATGTGACGAACGGCAGTCTAATCTGCTTAAATGGGATATTTGAAGGTAAAGACTATCAGTGCTGTTCGGTGAAGCTAAAGAGTTCACAACAAGTATGCTCGTAATGTGATAGCAGCCTTGCAGTTGTGCCTCTCGACTGCTATCACAACTATATACGACCACTTGAGCGACCGAATTGTGTTACGAACTTATGAGGACACACGGGCCAACCACAGCACTGGTAGCACAACAGACCCAAACGGGCAAGGCCGTGTTACCCTATAGGACCAACGGATCAGGAAGGCGCACGCACGGGCTCACCAGTACGAAGGGCTCACCCGTGAGCCAGGAGGGCATCGTGAGCCACCTCACACTAGATAGACCTATGGGGCTCGACAAGAGCATCCGGAGACAGATATCTTGCAGAGGGCGAGCAGGTATAAAGGGACTACGGGAGAACTCAGATTGTCAGATAGTTCGACAGTAGTCAACAGATCACAGTTACCACAATTGTTCATTGAGACCAGTACCACGCACATACTTGTTGTGAACCTTTTGGCTTCACCGAACGACTCTGATAGTTATTACCTTCAGCTATCTCATTTAGGCAGATCAGACTGCCGTTCGTCACAAATTGCCAGCTTCGGTTACTTATATCCTTTTGGAACATAACTTAGTGATGTAGTGGTCCGCCAGCGCTGTGAACTATTCCTTTTACGGAATTAGTCCACTCAGCCTCCACAGAACGTGCTAGAATACAAAGGTTTTGCTACTGTATTCTGGGATTTTCTAACTTGTTTAGCATTCCTTCTAGACTAATTTGTCATCATGGAATGCACTAGAAGCTCATAGATTCAGTTCATTCCTTTTATGATATAGTGCTTCTACAAGCACTCCTATTAACTTACAGAAGCTCATACGCCCTGGAAGCTTCTAGATACTTAACGTTCGTGTATATAAAGACTTCTTCTTTCCTTTAGTTAGTCACTCCTTAAGCAAGCTGTCATGCGGCTGGCGCCTAGGGGTGTTTGCCTAGCTTGAACTCTATGTAAGCCAGGCCTGCCCTCCGACTGGGTGCACTCCTGGGGTGCGCCGCACGAACCACATATTCGACCTTGGCGTTCTAGCACCTTCGATATCCGCACCTCTCTTGTGTATTTAGCTGTAAGCTCCATGCCATACTGGCACAGACCTCCCTTTTCCTCTTTGTCAAATATTATCACTTTCACCAAGGCCTACCTACGTGTATACCTCGTAGAACCCTTACACAAGCAAGCAAGCACAATCCAAACAATACAATACAGTCTACTCTTATAGTGCAGAGTTCACTATAATAGTTGTTTCTCACAGTGCAGAGTCCACTGTAATTATGTCAGACTAGGGTGCATATGCCTAGACGGCTAAACCTATAAGAGATAGAATGATATCCTGCTTGCAAAGCAGAACTCAGAATGCATACTATATAGCCAATGCCAACCTGTGACAGTACTCTTCTGTCTTGAGAGTAGAATTCTTTCTAAGACCTCTTTTGCAACATTCTTCTATTGTCTTTGCTATTACGCTACTTCCTTCAGCACTGCTGTCACTCTTTCTACCGCTTCCGCTCCGCTCCACTATAAGTGCATAGTTTACTGTAGCATCTTTATACTGGTACTATTATTATAAGCCAGTTAGAGCATTGCAGCGAACTAATTTATAATCTTCTAACTTATTGAAGAGTAATTAATAAAGGTCTTAATTCTTTTTAAAAAAATAGTAAGTATATTTATTACATTTAGATATTTTAAACAAATAACTTAATAATTATAAATAAACATCGATTTTATGATCGTAATTAGGATTTATGTAATAATATGAATATAGATTGCGGAATATTATATAAACGATACGCAAGAAATAATAGGATAAATGCAATATTGATATAATGAGTACAAGTTGTATAAGAATTGAAGATGATACGCAGCGAAAGAGATATAAAGTTATTAAAATTGTTAGTATACGCTTGCGAGCGACTTCTAGCGCTTAAAAAATAGGTATTTTTATACTTGATACTCTGTTACGTATGTTTCCCAAATAGGTAATTGGGAGTTTAGGCTGGGACTTGGATACCGCTCCTCCCTGTTATTTCGGCCGTCATAGTATTTTGACCAACGAATTGTCACTACCAACAATTTTCTCGTCATCCTTAACTAACTAGACGGACGAGGCAACCTACTGTCGCCCTCACTTAGACTACTGCTGATGACTAGGGCATTACAGATTTGACGACCGCCTCAGCGATCGAGAGCAATTCCGTTCCTTCCACCTCGCGCAACCATGTCTGTATCTATGGGTCCACGATTGATACCTTTGGCTTCTGCGATACAGTTCACGACCACGGATACTCGCCTGGATTTGCAAAGCGCGACACCACGCGAATCAACGGACCATACCATCTTCTTCTACTCTCTGTTGCCTGTCTGACCTCAGTTCAGCTCGACTGAGCCACATGATCTTTGGAAGGCCATCACCTTCTCCTGTCACGGAACCTCTCATTCTCTGCCGGATCTGCCTCTGCGGCCGGGGTTCGGAGGTCTCCAAAGCCAGGCTTCCACTGAGACTGATGTCACTGATTTGTCGAGTGACAAACATATCCTTACATTGCGCCTCAGCATCACAGCAAGATATTGTGGCTAGTAGATGATTGTGTCTGTCCTCGTCTTTCTCGTTACAGACTTCCTCATATTCCTTTGCCTGGGGTGAATAAAATCCCGTCACTAATTCCAGATTCCTGGATGGTATCAACTACGGTAGGTACAGTGTGTTGCATGCCACCCTTCTCCCGCTCTTGCTTTAATTGTACCCCTGCTCAAAGGGCTGGAAGCCACGCTACCGCCCCATCCTTTTCGAGGCTTCCCGGAGGGCTCTCTTCAACCTAGAGGTAGAAGTAATGCCAAATTCGGTAAAGAGAAATATAAGGGCTTCATTCTTCCTTTATTGTGTCTAAGCCATCCGCTTCCGCGTTACCATTCGTCTCATCTTTGACGGATCAAATCACAATCGAACAAAACTCAACTCCATACCTGGACATGGTTGAAACACAACCACCAGAATCTTCTCGATCACTGTCTCCGGGTCCCACTCCGAGTGATGCAGGCTCTTCTGTTCAAGTTCATGCGGAAATTGGAAGCAGCAGGTGCGTCTGCTTACCACATTATCCTCTAACCAGTTTCCTCACTGACATTTTGGCAGAACCCAGAGTGTCACAGGAACAGAACGATCGTTGACCCCATCTGTACGAGATCCAACGCGGATAACTGTCGATCATGTCAGAGAGAGGCTATTCCGGACGAGACTATCATCGCCATTTGTTTCATCGCATGGCACCGAGGCTCCTTTCCGTGACGACTTACTGATAGATCTTATTCATCCTCACGATAGCCCCCTCTTCAGCACTGCTTCAGCACCCATCAGTCAGAGCCTTAAACGTCCACATGATGGGGAGCCAACAGATACCGAGCCCCTCGCAAAACGAGACAGACTTATCGAAGAACTAGACCAGATGGTCTCTGCTGGGAGAAAAGCTGCAATAAAGTCCTTACAGGCAAGACAAAGGGAGACCGATGAGAACGGCGATCCGGTCACTTCTACTGGCACTGAGAACACAATACCAAAGCTAGAAGGACATGCCAGAGTCGTTTTACCGATAAGGTCCTCCACGAAAAGACAGGCCAATTGGCAACAAAGCGGATATATAACCGCACTGCCTGAACAAAATAAGGATGGGGAGATAAACTCGGAGCAAGGCACATCCGGAACTCCGCGGCTTGACGACTCTCTGTTGTGACCAGATGATCGGTATGACTGTTGGTTAAGGGTGCTGTTTCGCTTTTTTCTTTGCCCATGAAGTTCAACTAGACATACAGCTTGCGAACCAACCAGAACTGCTAAACAAGCCCCCCTGGCAAGTCACTTCTCATTGTATGCACCTGAGATCATGCTCGGATGGTTCTGATGCATCGTCAGTCTTTGACGGTTTACGTTGATGTTTTTGTAACATATTACTACGCAAATCGCCAAGCTCTTTCTTCCGTTGATTGATCTTTGTGCGTACAGAAAGGGAACCGGCATGCAACTCCCTTCAAATTGGAATCTGCTAGGTCCATAGGAGACTTTTCGGCTTGCGGTCTCAGACCAAAAGTCGGATACATAAAACAGGTACTTCCCCACGGACACTCGCCTGCTCATGTCACACATCAGTTCAAGCACTTTTTCTAGCACCATGGACGACCAAGTTTACTCTTCCATCCAGAATCTAGTGCCCATGGAGAGAGGCATCCCCCCTCGCCAGCCCCCATGCTTCCAATGCACATACGACACTGCCAGACAAATCCACAGCGCCAGTGCGCTAACACATTACAAAGACACCATCGAGCTTGTCAGGAAGACCCTTTGCTTTGTAGGCCAGTCTGCGCTTAAACGCTGTAGCAAGTGTGATCTAGCCAACGAGCAAAGATGCTACGATTGCCCCCGAGAGCTGGCCTCACTCCGCGACAAGCTTTGGGAGCGGCTGTCGAGAGTGGACACGAACTCTACTTCTAATGGCGCCGACCGGACAGATGTGAATTACTATACCATGTCCCTCCTACGCATAACCGCCGCAGATTTTCTTGAGCGTACTTGCGTGTTTCTAAAGAAGAACAATCTTGAAGATTTCGATCAACTTCAAAGTAACCTCATGGCACCGGTGCCCAGGTTAGTCGACTGGGGGTGCATCGATGTCTCGGTCACGCAGCAGGCGGAGCAACAGCATCAACAATGGCAGCAGGAGGTTGAGTGGGATCTCTCGCCACTCGTCACTTTGGCCACGCAGCAGAAGGAGCAACAACAACAACAACAACAACAACAACAACAACAACAACAACAACAACAACAACAACAACAACAACAACAACAGGTTCCATTGCAGAACCCATCGGCCTCGCGCTCGCCCTCTCCCGAGCCATGCTACTCCCCCTTGACTTCCGACAGAAGATCTAACCCAAGTTCGGGTCCCAACCCCAAGCCAGCAAGTTCATCAAAACAACCACCACAATCGCAGTCGCAGCCCCAACAAGACGAGATTAAGAAGATCCACTCTGTCCTCGAGGACATTCAGGCTCAACTTCACACGATACTCGTTACGCTCAGTAGTATGTCTCGATATCACCAACAAGAAGCTATTGCACGCCATGGGGAGATCAAGAAGCTGTTAATCCGCAACAGCAACGGCAATCGCAATAACAATGGGGACGACAACGACGACGATAACGTCAACGGCAACGACGACAATGATGACTACGACAACGACAAAGGCAAGGGCATTAGCAAGGGTATCAACAAGGGCAAAGAGATTGAGACCGGAAATGACAGCCGCCGCGACAGAGAAGATTCCAGCAGCAGTTTGTCGTCCTCAGCCCGGCTCGGTCCAAGCTTTCTGCACCCAAGTTCTCCCATCTCCAACAACGGGGAGGGTAGCAGCAATAGACAGGGTTCTTTCGACCCAGCACCCGGCGGTCCGACTTCCTTACACCCGGGTCTGAGTCCCCCGGTCCCCAATAGAGCTCACGCAAGGAACATCTGTATGTGGCCGGAGATCTCACCATAGTAGTTATGGAGCTACATATCTGGGCGATATCTTTCGCTGGTCTGTAACATCCGGAAAGGCGCGAGTGGGAGTAAAGGCAGACATTGAAAGACATAATATGGCGCTTGTAAGTAAGGTAGAGAAGAGCTTAAGCCGGAATCTTAGAGGGGTGATGGGATAATGTAGAAATCTGGAAGAGAAGGGAAGCATGACGAAGGAGAAGGAAGAAGAACGAGAAAAAAAAACCAACAAAAACCCCCCCTAAACAAATATAAAAACCCCCCAAAAAAAAACCTGAAATGCATATCAAACCGTACCTTCCCACCACTATATTCTCACCTAATTAAACCATGACTTTGAACGTGGACAGGCAGAAAAGCGGCCTGTAGAAGTATTTGCCATACTGTTTGTTCCGTTAAGGTGTGGAGGGTGCAACTGCGTAGAATTTCCCTCTGCAGACCACCCAGATGTAATCAAGCAGCTGAGTTCGACACGCCTTTCTTTTCCTCTTCATCAAACAAACGAAACTGATGGAAAGTAAGCAACTATGAGCCGTTTTCCCTGCCAGAAAAGTCATCTTGCTTACAATATCCAATACATAGGTAGCTCTTTGGCGAGCTGTTGCTATAGGTAGAGCAGCACTAGATTCAAGCAGATCAACTCTCATACATCTCGACCTACCAGATCGGTACTTGAGACCAGTGGAATTACAGACTCCATCCGGCCCACAGTCAGACAAGCAATCACTGCCTGGACTTTCATTTTCATGTCAATGTTCTTTTCAGTTGTTGACGGTGACGATGATTGAAGGGAATAGGTAAGCCTGATGTTGGTAATCTAAGTTTGGTACAGTAATGTACGCCAGCCACCCCGCCTTACCCGCCCTTTCTTATTTTCCGAATTTACCTTACCCTACCTACCCTATGAAAGTGTGGAAGAAAGAGAGAAATCCCCGAAAGGTGGGATTTTCTCCGAAGTTTATTAACTTGCCGTGCTTGCGTTGGACAAACCAACGAATGAGTGATGCTCGCGTGCAGCAGTACCCGTGCAGCAGGTGTGCAGACTGCCTCACTGCGGCATGGTACGTACGACGGCGAATGGAAGTAATGTTAGGTGTAAGAAAATACAGGCCAAAGTTACTATTGTTGGAAAGGATGATTTGTTAACAGTTCATGGTTGGAGCTACGATGATATGGGATAAAGCACTAACTTTAACACTACCTAGTCGATTTGTTTGTAACAGCCGAGGAATTCCGCGCCGTCAGGGTGCGTGTGTCTTCCTGACCAGGGGCACCGATCCTTCCAGCGTTTTAGGGGCTCTGAATATGGAACTACCGCCACCTATTGAATTCCTGGCATGTGTAACATTCACTTGTCGGCGGCTATTTTTTGTAGGTCGCTTTGGACTTTACCGATGAACAAGTGTACCAAATGATGACCTCCTTTCTTGTGGTTTGGAAGGATATCAAGTACGTCAAATTCCAACCAAGACCAAAGATCCATGTCCGTCTCCTTACATTTATTGGTATACCTGCAAATGTTCAGAGCTTGGTGGCTTTTGTTTCGGAAGAAGGGACGGGGTGTGCCATGGTCAATGTCCGTGAAACTGAAACTCGATGTCTTCGGGCGGTAATGTAGGAGCCGCCGCCTAGGTAACATGACCGCATGCGTGGCATGCGTCTGTGTACTTTTTTGTGTTGCTGCGGCTCCCGAAGCTCGCTTCGTGGCTCGAACATAGGAAGGACATTTGGTGGTGTTTCTTTGTTGGGCTGTTCCTGTTGTTTGCTCTCTGGCCAGTTTGCCCGAATCACGTTTGCCGCGGCCCTTGTTCCTTCGACCCCGAAACTTTATTCTAACGTCGTTCGACTATCACCTACCTGTTTCAGTTCCTTCTTTTTCCTCCCATCATGATACCATTACGCGGATATCACGCAATGGTCAGTCCAGGCTGAACAATGATATGTCCACGTTGATTCAACGCACCGCTGACCTCAAACCGTCGATCGACGCAACCAGGCCTCTAGTTTGATCATCGGCCCCCACTGCCTTTGCCCTTCTAACATTCTCGAATGGCGGAACAAGGCGAGCGGGTTCCCGTTTCCTCCAACCCACGCGCATGGTATACTAATGGAACTGCTCCCCACGAATCGACATAAGATTAAACTGGCTCGACTGGTTCGAAGGGATCAATTCGGGACTCGCCGTTATCGATGGAAATCTCCGTACGGGGCCAACAACGTCCGCCAAGCCACCACTTGAAATACAAGAACCACATCAGTTTCGAAACATAACGCACAAAAGCTTTGGGTATAACCGAAGTCAAAAACGAACGCCAGGAACTCGCCGAGCCCGAAACCAAAAAAAAACAATGCAAAGAAAACAGAGACGAAATGCGTATCAAGAATAACGTCAACGGGCAGGAGACAACATGCTTGGACGGCCCAACAAAAAGCAGCCTACACTTTCAGGGGACGTTCCAAACAGCCCGTCCAAGGAGACATGTGCAAGCTTTACATTGGTACCGTCTTGATGCATCCTGCACAATTTGACGCGGAAAACAAACGAAAATATTCCGAAAATAAAAACACAACTGAATCGCGACCGATCCAGGGCCTTCCCCATTTAGAAGGTCGGAATCGTCAAACCCTTCAACTGTTGCGGCCTAACTCTGTTCTCTTTGATGAGGGCATGGCTGACAAACCGTCTATTGGCGGGCGTGCTCAGTTGGATTGGGATGATCAAGCAAACCACCAATATCGACTCGCGAACGATCCTCCCGGCTCCGGTATTGCGCCTCCTGCTGTTGATTATCACTCGGTTGGTGGTTGCGAATCGGCGGTAGTTGAAACGCTGGCAACGGGTCTGGACGACTTGGCGATATCAGCTCGCTCCTGGGGATTTGAAACGGCGGCATCACACTGGAGTATTCTGTTCTGCTCGGCGACGATATGTATGCCGACGGCATGTTCGCGCCAAATCCCTCCATACTTCGTGGCGGTGGTGGTGCGGCTGGTACATGTGCTTCTTCTCCATATCCGCTGTCGGCAGGTCGCAAATGCCGGGGGCCAAAATCTGTTGTGACGGGCGGCCCTTGCGTGTATGGCTGGTATGACTGAGTCGTCTCTCTGACAATGGATGAGGGCCCGGAATAATGAGATGGTCGTGCCGGGTTCATCACCACGAGCACGACGTAATATATCGAGTCTCGCTTGGACAATGCAGTTCGAAGTGATAGCTGCCGTGGTAGTCCATCTTGTCCTAGGAAGGCGAGGACATCGTGTCTATCCGATGGGTATTTGAGACTTCCTCGAAGGAGAAGCTCAACGTCTCCATGACCCTTTCTTCCTCTGCCTTTCCAAAAATAGGTGGCAGATAATTTGGCTCATTGCTTCTTTGTTGGTCCACCATCTGCCGCTGGATAGACGCTACTTTCTCTCGATCATTACCCACGACCAAATCAGCGAGTCTCACACCTCGAACAGACACCCTTCCGATCGCATCCAGGAATGTCCTCGATGCCTTCCCGACATGAAGATCGACTGTTAAATAGGCCACTGGCTCTGGAGGTCTTGTTGACATGGTCAAAGGCGCGAGGAAAACATTCGAGTCATGAGTCGAGCCTCTTTCGCCAAATCTGGACATTGCGGAATCGGGCGGCTGTGATTTGAGAACGCGGTATGACTGTGTTCGGCGAAGGGTGTCGTCGAACGTGAGAATTGACGAAGAACCAGAATGATACTGAGACGACAACGGCCTTCTCATCCCATCCAGTGGAACGCCAAACCGTGTACCGTCATATTTTATATCCGCCCTATCATCCCGCAACCGTGGGCGGCCACGTTTCTTGTGTTGAACGTCGATGCATGCGTCGTCTTTGCCGCTACTGGAACACCTCGAGCATGGACGTCGTGCTGCAACCGGTTAGTAACGTCCTGATCCGTGTAAATCACAAGCCGACAATCATGTTGATCCTCCAAAGCGCACGACAGCCCTGGCCAAATATCGGACCCAGAAAACGCAAGACACGCTCGCATGAGTCTATCTCCGGCTCCTTAGAAATAGGGATACGCCAGTTCCCCGCTGCTGGATCTCGCTCGAAAGGTCCCATATGCCGACACTGGCAAATCTTTGATCCGTCACACACTCATGGATTGTCGCGCCGGTGAGCCATGCAACTTTTCGCAGCTAGCCGTCTCACTCATTATAACATCGGGGTTTGAATGCTCACGCAGCTCCATCGGGATTACCGACTTGGAAAGTTGGGGTATCTGGTTGGGGTATATCGGGAAGAAGAGAAATTTCACGTACCATCGCATCTATCAAATCATTAGCACTGAACCTCCGAACCCTTAACGTCTCCGGCAGCACCGGGGCAAACTAACCTTAAGTGGGCTCTTTTACAAGGCACGCACGCAGATGCCACATGGCCTTTGGTCTTTCTTTGGGGCTTGGGCGATGTCTGCGGATGAGGATCATGACCCGAATGATACAAAACTGTGGAATGGGGCGGTGGACCAGGCAAGGGACCTCCTACACTGCCTGACCCAGCAATCGGCGAGAAAGAAGGCTGAAGAGTTGTTTGACCATGCGGAGCATCGTAGGTATGCGGCCTCGTCATCGGCTCCGGGCGCTGATACTCGTACGACATGCGTTCTGACGGATTTGGGAGATATGGGCGTGTATGAGCCAAGGTTCCCGACTGAAGCCCTTCACCTCCGTGGGTGACCGCAACTCCTCGATAGCCATCTCGAGTAGTCGCCTGGTATACGCCCTGACGTCTTTCGGCGGCCTCTTGGCTTGCTTTCAGGGGGAGCGGCGGGGACCCTGACATGGGCGGAGAAGGATAGCTCTCCGAGCGAGCAGTGCTCTTGGAGTCTGCTCTGACCCAGTTGAGATCGAGAGCAAATTGGGCCAGGTCGGTAATGCCCCGGCGTTTGCCGAGAGTGTTCTGGAGGACGTCGGACCTCTGACTCAAGGGCTGCATGGAGAATCTGTTCAAAGATGACAGAAGGGATCAGGTATCCCAACCGTCTCTATGTCAAAGACGGCACCAGGATTCGATCAGCGAAGACCCTCACGAACGAGACAAGCAAGCGAAAAGATCCGAGTTCCAGGTTGACACGGACATTCCCAGATGTGGCATGCGCAGTTTTGTGTTGAGCGCAACAGGTCGTTTCTGGAATTCCGATTGCTTCCTTTCCGCGCCGGGTCCCTTTCGAAGTTGCACGCCAAGCTTTGGTGACTGGCCTAAACGAACCGGAAAAAAAGATATCTGGTTGTGGGATAAGGTTGCTGATGGAGTGATAACGAAGGTCCTGGGTCCGTGGAGCTTGCACGCCAAGGCTATTGTCTTTTTTGAAGTCAACAAGGACAAGCCAGGGCTATCAGCGTTAACGGGGCCAGCTATACGGCCAGTGAAGACGACAACACAGACGGTCAGGCCGTTGGGTTGGACAAAGATGATGCAGATGATTCTGGTTCAGTGAATCTTCGGGGCGCCAGTGGCACTGTATGCAGTGTTTCGTGCGAGTTGGGTTGTTGGATGGGAGGAGGTCGTTGACTCGTCGTTGTCGGGGGGCTGCAGACCGAAACAGGGCGTTCTAGAGGCCTCAGGCGTGGACGACAAGAGGAATAGAGGTCGGATCAGTTGGGACTAACAGCAGGTGAAAGGCGTGCTTTTGTCTCCTGGGTCTTGTTTAAGGTCGGCCTTTTTGTTGCCGGGATATCGCGCCCGTAAGTAGTCGGCGGCCAGGGCAGTTGATAAAGATTTGGTGTCAGTGGCACCAGGTGGTTTTTGTGCGACTTATTAGCAACGGCGCAATTGAGATGGGGCCAAGATGGAGCATGGATAGGCGTAGGTCAAGGTACCCTGGCCAGTAACCGTGAATGGGTCGTTGCAAATCGAAGGGTAGGCAGGGTAGGCTGCAATGCCAGCAAGCCCCCCTTGACTCTCCCCATGCCATACCCAACTTCGTTTTTGGAGTTGCAGGGCAGCCGAACGGCGGCCAAGGTGCACGCGAATTTGCTGGACGGATGATGGATTGGGCCCAGGATGTCAAGAACAGTGGCCGCCAGTCCCAGGTCTAGTCCCGGCAGCAGGGAAGAGGGAAAGGGTTGTGGTACTTGTTTTGATCCGACCCATCTGGGTGGTGCTCCCTGATGGTGCTCCGTGGTGGTGCTGTTTGGGTACTGGCTCGCGGGCTCCTACCTCTACACTAAAGGCTTGTTGCCATGCGCTTAGTACTTGGTGGACGGCTCCAGTCAGGTTTTGTCCTCTCGCTCGCACGGCTAATATCGACGTCCGCCCACCCCACCCACTCAACCTGAGGCTGTCATGGCCGGGAGCCGCTGTGAGCAGTGAAATCCCCCTAGCGCAAGACGACAGCACCAGGCGTTTCGTCACCCCTCGGGAGAAGGAGGAAGAGCAGGACGGCGAGGAGGAGGAGGAGCAAACCCTTGGGAGAACAAGAGGCGAGACAAGTTCCAAGACCAGAACACGGAATGATGTGCGAAGCAGCATGTCTCGCGTCGCCGCTTTTTCAGGTATCAACGTGTCTGTCGGCGGCCGATCCCATCAGGACCAGCACCGGGAAGTCAGTATGGCAGTCAGTACCCGGGAAGTATATCCGCCCCCATGCAAGATGGCGGTTGTCCAGTGCATGCGGCCCTGGCTGTGTACGGTTGCAATGGCCTAGCAAGCACCCACGAGCCACCCCGGTTGGCTCCTAGGGATACCTCCCCGTCGTGAATGTACCTGGGCGCTATTTGGTGGAGGTATATACCGCAGCCATGTTGGGTCCCCATGTTGCAGTAGTCGACCGACTCGACCCAGTTACGCAATTTGCGCACGCACTGCACTTACTGCATAGCGGATCGCTGAGAACGGCGAGCAAGGATTCGACGAGGGTTGTGAAATGATGTCGAGGATGGCCGATCCCTCCGCTGTCGACGGCGAGATATGTGAGATGGGTGTTTGATCTTGATCTTCAACACATTCCGTGTCCGGTAAGGTAAGGCTCGAGATGTCGAGGGTCTGCAAACGGGCCGAGAAGAGCATCGGACCCTGAGCTTGCAATGTGGAATCTCATGGCTGATTATGAGAAGACGAAGAACTGAGGCGTCCAGGCTTGGGAATAAAATTCGTCAGACATTGTGGCCAGCCCAGTGTGCTTCTTTCCACTTCCACAACCACTACCGCGCGTCTCCTTCCGTAACCTCCGTCGTTTTGTTTGCTCTTTCCGGCTCCAGGCTAAACCATATTCTCTGTGCCTTCCCAGTTTGTGCGTCACAACCCGCGTCAAGGTGCTGTCATTAATCAAGCCTGTCCCAGAACGGAAGGAACCCGGCTGTCAGGAACAGGCGTGCCGGAGAAGGTGCAGCAGCAGCAGCAGCAAGCCACAACTTTCGACAATCCAACCTCAGCTCACGACTTCCACCTGGGGGGAGGTGCAGTTGAGATTGTCTGCCTGCCTCCATCGTCCGACAATTCCCAACGTTGGATCTGGAGCTGTGTAGTACTTTTACTTTATCCTCCGAACCCAACAAGTTCAGTTGCTTCCACTTCAGCTGAAATTTGCCAATGGTCTCGAACAGGCAGAAGATTCGCAAATTAAAAGTGCTGATACCGGTATCAAGAACTACATGGCTCCAGTCTGTGCCCCATGGTTGCTTCCATAGCGGGACGGAACACTAACCAGGGGCAGGGGAGCAGGAACCTGTGTGGGAGCCCAGGATTGCCAAGAAGGCAAGGAACTCGCACATCCATCATCTCTTTCCCTCCAACACTCCATTGTTCCCAGTGGCCGTTGTCGAGTAAGATCCGAGTTTTCTCTTGCCCTTCCAAATTACAGCCAGTCATCTGCCCCAAGATGGCATGCGAGCTTCCAGCCAGGTGTAATTCTCCATATCCTCCACAGCAATGAACCTTGTGCTGCTCATTTAAAATGGCGGATCGCAGATGGCTGGCAGCCGCTCAGCAGTGTACCACTTACCGGAATCTTGGTCTATCATCGATCCCTGTCTAAAGGTGAGATAGCTTCCGAGTCACAGAAATTTTCCCCGTCTCTCCATCACAGTTCCCTACATGAAAGGTTATTTACCCATTCTGACGCAACCTTCCAGCCTTCGATAGCGGCAAGGCGTCGGGAGGATGGGAGGCCGATGAAGACGGGGGCTTGGCCCTTCCGCCGCCCTTCTGGGATCCGTGAGGAAAGTAAAACGGTCTGTTCAAGACAAGGTACGGACCTTATCCTCACGACCAGGTTACAGCTACCAGTCAGGTCAAGCATCGTTTTGTTTGTGGTGCCAAAATCTCCCTTGTCCCACCCGCTGGCACAACTCGGGGCTACCTCTGCGACCTGAAGCTGTGAGATACCTACCCCGGGAGTGGAACCCTTGGTTAAGTGTGACCATACTTCATAGGCCCTTGTTGCATCTTTCACTTGGGTTTTTCTATCCGTGTTTCCTACGGAACCCCATCAGCCTGCATACAGCCATCGTTGGCCGTTTCTCTTGGTATCCCGACACTCAGCGACTTCTCGATATTTCACACATACCTATGCTTTGCTGGTTTACCACTAACAGAAACGAATCAGATCCTCCCAGGGCTGTCCTCTCTGCCTTTTACTGTACCCAGGAGGAGGCCTGGTCGCGCACCAAGATGTGATACTGTGGATTGATTGGGCAAACCGTGCTAATGAATGCAATTCCTGCCTAGTGGGATTACATCACCTACGGCCTGTCCACGGTTGGTAGTCACGAACGACAGGCGAGCCAAGGACCCAAGAGGCAGCGCATCAATAGCACAACGCTCGGCCGTTGCAGATCCACCTCGTCTTGTCTTACAATGTTGTACAGGTAACAGCATGTACGGTAGCGACTGCTTCATGGTGGTACTGGAACGGTGGAATGAAAAGATAAAGGGCCCAGGCAAGTTCCTCACTATCTTCATGATGCTAACACCCAGGCACAGTTCTGTTAACAACTCCTTTCTCATCATCAATGGATTAATGCTGCTGTGTTCAAAGGCATGGTATCTGCCATAGAAAGACAATGATTGGCTCGGCTATGCCTTATACATACTAATCAAGACAACCCATCAACCAGGAGTGAACTACCAGCAAGCCTTCCTTCTTCCGGTCACATATAGAGATGCACCAAGGTCTACGCTTATTGCACACTTGCTGCGGCCCGCTACAGGCGAAACGAACGGTTACAAAATGGCCGCAGGCATGGGCCGCAGACCAAGTGATGCTCTTCATCTAACTCGATCGGCTCTTTTGATTGCACCCGCCAGTGTCATCCATGGACCATCATTCTGTCCCGGTCCCGCCTTGAAGGTTCCCATGTAATCTCTTCGGTCTTGTCAACGGCGCCTATTTGTTTGTCTCCTGTATTCTTTTCCAACACCACGGCTGTCTTCTTTATCACCCATAAACTAACCCGACGATCCCACACTGATCACTTCCCATGCTGACTTGGGGAAATTGCTTGGACGTATTCACCGTCACGGTATGTCACGCTGCCCTACTTGAACCATTCACCCATGTCCAATACCGCCACTCTTCTTTTCGATAACATGCCTCGTGTGGAGAAAGTGAGCGTGGATGGATTACAATTATCCGTTCAACTTCCAACAATCCGAACTCAACGCCATTACGTAGCCATAGCAGTAAGCATACGTCTTTGCTGAAATCAGGGGTGACATTGAGCAAAAGATCGGCGGCTGGGCTGCCCTACTGATCTACTTCCAGACCACAACTCGAGACGAACACCTTGCTTATGTTACGTATAAGTGTGATGCCGGGAGGATCAAGTAGTCCGCACGCCTTGCTCTCTGAGTCTCGTGATGAATTTGGTTGCTTGATCACCGCCCTACGCAAGCAGGTACGTGAAAAGGGTTTTGAGCGCTTGGGTCTCTGGAAAGGTAACATCGCGTAGCAACTCATGGCGATCTGATAATTTGCATTCCGGACGGGGGTCGTA